GCCAGCTGAAGTGGCTGCAATGTCACACAAATAAGGATCTTCACTTTTTTGTGGACCTGCTGGGATTACTGGGGAAGGTGATGAAAAGCCTGGCAGACACTGAAAAAACCAGCACAGGCCAGAAAGTAATTTCTGGGAGCAGATGTTTGTTCTAAGTGCATTTACAGATGGATGCCATACAAGGGGAAGCTGGCATTTAAGAGGTCCTGCAGTCATCCATTTCACTGTCACTGAGGCTACTATTAAAAATTTTTATAAATAAAGACGATCCAGTGAGCAAGAAGGGAAAACGATGACATACCCAGGGCACAACTCCAAGTAACGCAGGAGATGGTCTGTGACGTCCTTATTACTCATTTCCTCTCATAAGATTTTGACCCTTGCCTACCTCATCCTGATGTTTAAGGTTTATGGTCTCTTTGCTAGTGAAGACCCCTCAAAAAGGAAGCAAAGGCACCCTTCATGCTGCTGCTCCTTCAGAGAGGGCTGAGGCAGGCAGGGCTGGGAGCCCGGGCTCCTCCCCAAGGCAGCAGTGACTTACAGCTTCCAGAGCACAGGCACCTACTCCCAAATTGCTGCCAAGAGGGGCACGCCTGCAGCCTGTTTGACCACTCCCTGGTTCTCCAAAGGACTGCAGCAGCTTTAGGACTGACCAGGGGAAAGGACAGTGGGACTTGGAGCAGGAGCTGAGACAGACACTCCTGCTATCCTTCCCTTAGCTCTCGTTACCGAAATACCCCGGTCACTTCTCAACCCAGTTTCTGGACAACCACTTCTTTGTTTTTAGGAGTGATATAAAGCAAAGTGAAAATACCAGAGGCTTACCTACAAAACACTAAATAAAGCAAACTGTGGAGCTGATTCACAAACAACTCGGATGTTCATGCACTCAGGCCACTGCCCCCTCAGAGAGACAGGGGCTGTACAGCTCCAGCTCCAGCAATATGATTTTCATTGGTAGACACATGTCTGTCAGAACCCTAAACCTCATACTGTATTACCTTTGTGGCTGATATTATGTGGATCTGGAAATAATCAAAGGGCAGTCAGTTGTCTTGAATTTGATAAAATGTAAGAATTTTCCTTACTCAAGTGTCAAAAAATATTAACATAACTTGTACTTTATAAAGGGGAAAGACTCCAAAACCAGGCAGTGTTCCATGTACCTGCAGTGATAAGTAGAAGAATGGCTAGCTATAACGTAGACCTACAAAAAAATAAAAACTCCCTTGTAAGTTTCTTTTCCATCTGGGAGAATACTGCAATTCTCCATGAAAAATTCCAGCAGCAAAATGTCATGCTAAATTTTCCTCTACAGTATGTATTTGATTCTGAATCAATCCCACAGAGAACAGCAGACAACATCAAAACAGAAGTCTTTAATTGCCCCATAAAATGAAGATTACTTTAGACCCCTAAAATTGAACTTTTATGAGTATATCCCTGGAAAATGAAACCACTAGACATTACACTGCAGTTATCTGGGATTCATCTCATATACTACTATTTTTTTAAGCTTTACTGGAAATCATACTGAAAGGCCTACAAGAAGGCACATTTTTGGATTATCATGGCTTTTGTGTCTGGAAAATAGACTTTAGAACATATCTTTAATGAAATGGTCAATTTGGCCTAAACAATCCAAGGAAAGAAAAAACTTGCTTTTCCTTATGAAAATGTGATTTTAAATGTTTTCCAGTTGCAAAAGTAAATGTAGGCTGAAGGAACATTTCAGAGCGGATGCAGTTTACCTAGAAAAAAGCACTTCTATCCTGGAATAAAAATGCTTGCAGCCATTCTGTTTAAATTTTGAAGGTACCTCATTCCAGCATGACACGTGCATGTGTGTGGTAGGTGTCTGTGTCTATATTCACCAGATCACTCCTGACTGGGGAGTAAAGCAAGTTGTGCCTATTTTGTGAAGTGCAAGTAAAGCATTAGTAAATGACATTTAAATAATTTGAAATTTTTGAAATAGCTATGGGACTTCATGATCCTTATGCAATATGAGCATTTTGTTTTACTGAACAACTGGAGCTATTAGGAAACATTATTTGCTTGTGGTCTCCACTTTTTTATGCCCACCTTTTAGGGATTTGTGGTCATAATGCCACCTTGGCTTTTTATCCTAAAGGAGACTTCTCTCTCTCTCTTCCAGAGCACAGGCATTTGGATAATTTTTATTTTATTTTTGATTGACTGTCTAGGAGAGGGAAGAGGAACCACTGCACTTTGGAGGCACTCATGAGATTTCATGTGTCTGACTTTTTTTCCTTTTCTACTGGCTTTGACCATGTGAATAAATTTCAGTATTGCTCTGAGTATCTTCCTCCCTCTTGCACATAATCCTTTACAGATTACATGTCTTGTTCAACAGCACAGGGAATATTTGAAACAATACATCTATTTGTATAGCTCTGCCAGACATTCTTCCTATGCTCTTCCTGTGCTGAGTTTGTAATTTTATCTGTCTTTCAAAAATTCAATTAAGGGACTGTTAATAAAAATTAATTAAATTAGTCCTCTGACAATACAGAGCAGCACCACATAGATGACATATTACCAGTTCATGACGGTGCAATGAGAAGGAAGCAGCAAAGTACCAGTAAGTCTTCTGCATCCCTCAAAATACTGAGGAAGGATGCTCTAAAGTGGTTTGTTAGAAAGGATATCATGTGGTGTAGAATGCAAAACAGCTGCTGCTTTCTATTAGGCATGAGGGAAGCTAAAAATAAAACAAGCAGAAATGTTAAAATGGGTGAATTCTGGATGTCTTCTCCTTATTACTAATGAAAATAACTCAGCTTTTTTTTTTTGAGAAACAAGGGTATAAATATACAGAGGAGGGTAAAGATGCAAAAATCCTAAAATGCATTACACTGTGGATCAAAACTACTTTTGTATTTGATTCTATTCCAGCACACATCCAATATACTGGGGTGGGGAAAAAAGATAAAAGGAGGAGGAAGGATGAAAGATACCTTTATCTGTGAAGGGTATCTGGAAAGGAGCCACTGCGAAGGATAAATAACTTATTTGCCAATCAAAATGAATGTGAGGATACACAGAGGAATTTTATCCCCATGAATGCTTACCAACTTCTTCTTACTGTAGTCAAAGCATACAGATTCTTGACAATGTAATCTACTTGTGAACATTTCCAAAATTTGATTTAAATTACTTAATTTCTCCTGAATATGCGAATCCAGAAGGGGAAGCATCCTTAATTGCATACTACAACTAAAGGTGTGTAGTGTGCAGGTAGGTGGGTATGCCCATATGTGTGTTCCCACTATTCTGAATGCCCACAAATGAAAAGTTTTCTTGTCAAAAGGAAGCTAGTTAAAAAGAATGGTACTGCTGTTTTTATTCAAAATTTTATGTTACATTTTCGCATCTTGTTCACATAAGCCTTCAGTTTATGATTTTAATTTATATGAGATTTTTACTTTATTTCTCTCTTCTGGAAACCAGGCAACCCAAAGCAAAATGATGAGTGACAGGCTGAATTGACAGGGTTGACTAGGTTGAAATGCTCCCAACCATTCTTGGCTTGCTGCACCTGCGCCTCACAGCACGTTAGTCACAATGTGTGCTGCAGAGCCCGTGCATGCCCCACCTCTAGGTTCCAGCACTATTAATTGAATTTGGGGATGCAGCCAAACAGCTTAAAACTCTCCCTTTCATATACAATGCAGTACTTTGTCTTGTTAGGACAGGAACCTCGGGTGAGCTGCTCAGGCACTCTGCGGGGAACTAGCACTGGGAACAGTGTGTGGGCTGAGTTTGCCCCAGCCTGCCTTCCTGAGACTTACAGCAGGACTATTTCAGCAGCCACATTTCCCTTTTTGGTAGGGCCTTCCAGAGCATCCAGCTGCAGTAATGGAACCTGTCTGTGAGGCAGGGATGTGTCCAACATGGCCTTGCAAGGAAGTTGATCCACCCCTCTGACACTTACCCTCTCAAGTGATGAAAATAACTTTATTTTACAGTCCAATGAAAACCAATAATTTTTGACACTTCCATGCCATTCTTCATATAATCTATACCAAAATGAGGAAACTAATATGGAATTTAAATATGCCAAACCAACTAGAGTTGACCATGCACATCAGACAAGCATCTCTCAGCATTACCTTCCACCTGCATTGTCAGCCAGCCATGTTCCTGCTTCGCTTGAGAAGAGGACTGTGCCCAGCACAGCACCCATTCACAGCTAACCCAAGGGATGCAAACAAGGAAGAAATACTGTGCTTTGAGCTACTGCTCTTAAAATGCTTCAGAGCAAAAGGAACTACAAATTTGGAGTTGAGGAGTGAAGGGAGACTGAAAATCGCAGAACTGGGTATTTCAAGTAAATAATAATCAAACATGCATTTAAACACAGTCCAGTACAATAATGTTGTAAGAAACCAATTAACATTCTTTCAAGTATCATAGGATATAAGAACTAATTAAATCAATTAATAATATGATACTTCATGCTAGTTCATCAGGTGCTATTAGTAGCACACTGTGTTCTACCACAGTTCCTTTCCCACTTTGCTACAGACCAGAATTGAGTATCAACATTTTTGTTGTTTGTTTTAAAAAAAACAGAATTATAGAAAGTTGTAACCTACTGTTACTAACACTGACTAGAAGTTATGGAAAGCAGTAACTACAAAAAAATTATAGAGCCAATATAAGCAAAGCAATTGTTACTAAAACAATTACAAAACAATTAAAGCACTTATTTTACAGCTGCTTTTTCCCTGATCCATTTGGGTGTAAATGGATAATTTAATCTGAGCTCTAGTTACAGAGTTGCAGCTTGTTGGTTTACTGTGGGTAACCAGCAATAAATTTATATAATCAAACCCACTGAGACACAACTGAGATGATTTTGATCATGATGAAGGAAAACAGCTAACAAGAATTTTATAGCTTTCAATAATCCTGTGTGCTTCACAGACCAGTCATATGAAACTAATAACTGATGATGAAACTTTTCATTACAGAAAATCCTTGCCAAAGTGAAGGAAGATATACTAATTCAGGAAACAATCAGAGGGGAAAACCCTCCACTAAAAGCATATTACACCTGAGACTGAAAATAAATGGACTTCAAAGCATGATGTGGAAATCAAAAGACCCATTCAGAAGACGGAAGGTGTGAGTTGTCTTCTCATCAGCACAGGTAATATTCCCCAAAACCAGAGGGAAGGCTTGTCCCTGGCTGTTATGTTGGTCCAGAACTGCCCTCCTCCCTGCTTGTTCATTATAACCATGCTGACAATACCCAGCTCAACATAACATCAAGGTGGCAAAGCACACACACAGTATCTTTGGAAGCAAAAGCTAGTTATATATGTGTGTGTGTATATATATGCATGTATATATATGTAGATGAACATGCCATTGAGCCAGAGGGTGTTCAATAAGCACAGTGCCCTGCTCATGGCCATCCTACCAACTCTGGAATCCCAGGCAATCCTTCCCATGCCTGCTGTGCCATCCACTGTACCATGACAGACCTCCATGCTGCACTGCACAGCATGCCATGGGCTCCTCCCCCTCCACAGCCTAGTAAAGCACTACCTTCAATGCTTCTCAAAAGCATCAAAAAGTTAATAGAAGGAAAGAGTTAAAAAAGCCTTAACACAAACATTTGGAGAAGTTTGTGCTTTAGTGATAAGATTTTGGCCATCTCTTTTAAAACCACTGATGTCTCTCACACTGAGTTACCATGATGCTAATTTAACATAATTTTTCTTCAATTCTGCATGCCAAATCAATATCATAACAGTAGCTATAATTCTCTTTCTCACGTCATATACTTGCAGTCCCACTCCATGGGCTGGGGAACCAAATAAGAAACCAAAGAAAAAACTGTTTTATTGCCAAATTGGAAGGACACAAGTAAACAAATTCTTGAAACTAACACCTTAAAAACAGACTTCCAAAAGCCTTAGAAGCTTTGGATCAGTGACTAGACTACAGATGCTAATCCAAAATTAGAGTTAGCTTCTGAAGCAACCAAAAAATGTCCATGCCTATCAGTCTCCCAGGACCACACTCCTTCTCGTGTTCACCTCATAAAGGCACAAATGCCTGCCCACTTTTGTGTCTAATACCTTGGACCCATTCCCAGAGCAGTGTGTGATATCCTTACACTCTTTAAAGATGTGACATAGAATCCAGCTGCAACTACGCTGAGATTTGGCTACAAATACCATATGCAGCTTATCAGTTGCTGGAACTTTCATTCTGATATACAAAGCAGTGAGTTATGATAGCTAAATAAATAAAAGATTACACAATAGTAAAACCAACCTACTTCCTTACAGGATTTTGCAAGCTTCAAATGAATGCTGCAAAGTACTTTGTAAAGGAGAATCATTTTAGCAGTCATAAAGAAAGAAAATGGATGGGGATTGTGATGACAGGACCAAGTCCTTTGTCACACTGGCCATAGTTTTAAGAACTAAGAAATAGAAAGGTGCATTCCAGGAATAAAACTCCAACATTCAACAAGAAGATTTTCTAAGCTCTGTGACATTCAGATACTGATCTACCCTTAAAAACAACATGAATTTTATAGTAATTAATTCTTACCTAGCTTTGTAACACATGACTCTATCTGTGCTGCTTATTACAATAATCAGTTCAGCTGAATGCTACCAAATCAAACTTTAGTAATACCTATTTTAATTTCATTAGACTTTGAGGAGCTGTGAAAAATATTTCAGCTGAGAAGAAGCCAGAGATAATCTTGTTAACTCTCAATGTTAGCAATATCCCCAAACAAGATGCCAAAAGATTTGCTACTTAATTGTGCTATGCAGCTCCTTTGACTGGCAGTCATCTCCTTCCCCACCATTTCAGCCTATCCCAAGAGAAAAATTCATACTTTTCCTGAATCAGTTGTCCCATGACACTCACTGGAGGTTCAGCAGCAGCAGTATGTGTGCAGCTGTAAAACATCTGGCACACAGGTGTATGAAATGGCATTTACTTGCTGTCTGGCTAGTCACACAGTTTTTGGAAAGATAACAGTTATTGTGCAAAAAGACAGATAGTACTGCTGTGCTCACTATTGTAAGTTGCATTTATCTTCAGTGGTGTAATCTCCAGGTTAAGGAAGAAGAATAAATGCTAAGAAAGAGAAATTTTATGGAAGTCAAGCATGGTCCTTCACATTGGTACTGATAATCCAGCTTGGATGCAGGTTTATTTCCAAGGAGCAAGTGAGTGGGGCTGGAAGGCACACTTTAAATAAATCCTCTGACACTGTCTGAAACGGAATGGGAGCAAATGCTTTCCTTTGGCAGCTTGAACTTACAAGTTAATGCCAGCAGCATTACAAACATTAATCTTAAATACAGCAACAACAACAGACTAAACACAAACCTCTACATAAGAACTAAGGCTGTATAAAAGCAAATTTGATATATAAAAGGCAGCTTACATAGAGCAAAGAAGAAAATGCATTGCTTTCAGCATGGGACATTAGATATTTTGAAAAAAATACACTAAAAAATGCAATGTCACATTTGCCAAAGATATTGATTGGACAAAATTGCCACCTCCAGAGTTCTACTTAATATAGTACAAGACAGACCTACATGGCAAAACTGAGGAGGTAACTCATGCCCAATGCTCTGAGCATGCAGGCACACGTGTGAGCTTTAACACAACAGGTACAACACTAGTAATGAAGATTAAGCCACACTGAGACTCTCTCAACAGCTTGCACTAAAACTGGAAGCTGCATCTTCATCACTGGCACCACTTGGGTAAGCCTTTGCTTACTCACAGTACAAACTTCTTAGATTACTCCTCATGTATTGGCAATGGACATACGGTGGTTCGTGTTGTGGGCAAACAGAAGCAGTGCCTGGTACACATTTCTTCATTCCCCAGTAACTCATAAAGAAACTTGATGAGACTCTGCTGGTGCTAGGACACTTCCTACCTGAACCAAGTTTTCAAACAGCAGTCCAAGGAACAGATTCTCTGATTTGCATTCTATTAAATATAAATCACCAGGTCTATATGACATGCCAACATCATTCAGCTTGCAAACTCACCATTCTTACTATAGCAGAACTCTAAATTTTCCTCTGCTCTTATCCTCTTTTGTTGCGGTGTGTTTGGGAAATGCAACACCACACTCTTTCTGTTAAGAAAGAGCATATTTACAGCAATACAACACCAAGCTCTCAAGGTGGGTGATGCACACAGAAAAAACAACTGTGTCATCCAATCAAATTATCCAAGCAATGTTGAAAACACAAAATACTGACTGGTCTTTTCCACCCATTTTCATACCCAAGAAAATGTTTGCTTTTTCTTTCTATGTTAAATTTCTTCAGAAGGTTTTCTCCCCAAAAGAAAAGGCTCATCACATCTCTCAAAAGCCTACAGTTACTGAAATGAAATGGAACAAGAATGATTAAATGGATAGTCATGAAGACAGGAAACATGAGATAGGCATTTTAAAAGGAAGGGCAAGTCTTTACTATAAATCAAAGCTTTCCAAATGTTTCCAGCACCAAAATGGACTGGAAGCATGAGGTGATAGGTGCTTTTGCAGAGATAAAACTGACAATGTGAAATGAAATATGTGTAAGTTATTAAAACAGAGAGCTTTGCTGGCAGGTGGGGTTTGTTGAAATTCTAATCAAGTTTCCAAAAAGAATTCATATTTGAAATTAGAAAGGAATGCCTCATCTATTGGTAGAAGATTTGGCCCATTTAATTAGTCCTGAAAACAAATGGGTGCAATATTTTTCTTCAACTGATGTTATGGAAATGCACACATGTTTCAGTTTACCTGTGCTCCTCCAGACTTCACACTTCTCTGTCCTTGCTGTTGAGGCTGCTGGAGTCAGTAAGCAACTATCTCCCATTTTGATACTCAAACAGCAATTCAACTGTACCATAACTCTTTATTTTCACTGGCTCCATTCTCCACTGAGTTATCAGTACAGGACCAAACCGTCTGAGCATGTTATTGGCAACTTTCTGATTTGAAAAGTAAATGCTAAAGATTTACTAGGAGAAGTGAATCTACTTTTCCTCCTGCAAATACTCTGTTCCTAAGGTGGGAAAGGACCCTCTCCAAACACTTCCAAAACAGATGAAAAATAACAAACATTGTAGTAGCGCGGCACGAAATTTATTTTTGCTTAAGAGATATGAATAATATTTTGAGATATTACCTAGAATGCTGAATCAACAGCTACCTTTACCTTTTGATCATCCATAAAGGACAATCTTCAAAAGACGAAACGAAGACCTGAAAATATCTAGCTTTTGCTAAATACGGCAAGGAGTCAGAAGCAATATTCCATGAGCATCACTGTGCCCTAATGCATCATCTACACTGTAGCAACATTTCATAAACTAATTCAAAACCAGGCTTTGCAGCTGCTTGGCCTGGGGAGTGTATAATGGGATCAGTACACAACACGAAAGCAAAACAAATACCTCAGTTGCTACTAAAAATTTCTGCTGGAAAATACCAAGATTTTGCTTTCAGTTTTATTATGAGATTGACAGATCCCTCCAAAGGATTCCAGATAGGCAGCTAAACTTTAAATTACAACATTTAAGGTGGATGTTTTTAGCTGTTTATGGGCTTCTTTTTTCTAGTTACCATAACTTTTTATTATTTTATCAAAAATAAGTGAGAACCCAAAACCACAACTTACACATTCTTGTGTTCAAGACCATGTGAACATCAGGGAGTGGGAAGGGTTAACCTGTGTATATTAACATAAACAGGTCGGAAAACAGTACAAAAGAATAGATACTCAGTGTAAAACTTAACACAACTCTGCATTCCTCACTTCTGTCTCTTTCCTACCCTGTACTTAAGTCTCCATTCTGCCCAGGGGCTCCATCTCCTCTCTGGAGGGAGAGGACTGCAGCTGGAAGGGGATGAGGCTGCCCCTAGGCACAGGTACACGTACTCATGTGCACACTGCAGAGCTGCCCTTGCTCATCCACAGCCAAGGGGATGGTCCTGTGGGACTGCAGGAGCTTTGTCTTAGCTCTGTGTAAGCTAACTTGGGACTGGCCATCCTTTTCTGATGTGATAAGCTTGAATTTGTATGCCCACTCAGGTCAGCAGCTCTCTTAAGATCTGCACATTTGTGGCATCTGCCAGTTAATGTGGGTCACCAAATGTGC